CCTATATATGAATGAATTATGGAGCGTGTATGACCTGCATTGCCAGTGTAGTGGTGAACAGCATGCATCTGAACTCAGGTTGCCAGTGTTTTGTTGAATGTTTTCCTGAAGTCTTCATCACATGTGATATTCATTTTAAAATGAATCTTTAGATGGAGGGCTGGCAATCTCAGTCAGAATGTGTTCAGATTAGGTGCTGTACTTGGCCTTACTAAGTGATTTAAATTTTTTTTCTGAATAAGTATCATTGGCCTTTTGATTGTATATCTGCTTCCCACAGCTCTCATTGGCTGGGACAGTGAGAGCTGCAGGGACCCATGCCTGTGGATAATCAATATAAACAAAATGTTTTGCAGCCTGCTAGTACGTTAGCCTGATAGGCTGAGTGCTGAAGTTTGCCAACCTCTGGTGTATATGTTAACTGCTAACATTAATCTTGATGAATGAATCCAGGAGGACATGTCTTTTCAAAAACACAGGCTTTCTCTGAAGTGTTGTGAAAGTGAAATGAACTGGATTTTTAGATCTGCAGCATCACTGACAAAATTAACACGAATAACTTCCTTTGCAAACATTGATGTTAAGTTTGTTCTCCCACAGCACACTGATTTACTTTCTGTTCCTTCAGGTTGCAAAAGCCTTTGGGCATCTCAATCTTTGTGCCATTTATCTGACTATTCCTGTGTTCTGATGTATTAATCTGTACTGTAGACTTGTCTTTTTACCCTGTTTCTTCTCCTTTTAAAGTCACTTAAAAATTAGGGCTTTTTCAGTGATGCTTATTGGGGATAAGAAGTGCATGCCTCTTTGACTTCGTTCATAGCATTGTATTCTTTAAATTAAAATTTTGAATTGTAAATTCTCTTTGGCTAAGATTTTGAACCTTTTCTAATTTAAAGTATTTTACTTATCGTCAAGTATTGCATTTCCTCTTGTTGTTACGTAAATAAAAATAAAAAAGTCTGGACTCATTAGATTAGAAGAGAGTTCTAAGTCCCTCTGTGGTTCTAAAAATCTCTCATGTGAAGAGTTCTGAAGGAACTGTGCTGCTTACTATAAGAGGAGAGATGGCATCAGGGCCAGCTCTAGGTTTTTTGACGCCCCAAGCAAAAAAAATTTTGGCTGCTCCCCCCCCCCCCTTTTTTTTTTTTTTTTTTTTTTTTTTTGTCCAAGGAGGGTGCTCACGCAAATGCAGCTTGTGCGGCTCCTGGGGGGATGGGGCATGCGCTTCAGGGGGAGCCCAAACCCCAGGACATTTTCATCTCCTAGGAGAGCGCCTGGGACTCCCCACGTGAGGACAATGGGAGGGCAGGTTCATCCACAGCAAGCCAGTTAGACTTCCAAAGCATGCAGCTGTTCACATCACCTAGTGCTGGAGTCCAGGTCCCACTCCTCACTCTGCAAATGGATTTTATTATTAGAAGCCTTATAATCACTCAGACTCCAACCCCAACACATAAGCTGTCCAACTCTTGGTGTCCATGGACAAAAATCCGCCTCACTATACAATGAAACAGTTCAAAGGGATTAAGAGCACTTTTGTTTCAACTCCCCAGCTCAACTGTCCAGAACAAGACACGCACCAGACAACAAAACCCCACTAGCCTAGGACCTATTCCATGAGTGCAGCCCTGTGCTTTCTTTTTCAGGGACAGACCAAACAGCCTCTGAAGCAGGGTGGATTGGTTTAAATAGCTTTGGTTTAAATCTCTAATTTTAATCATGATTTAAATAGGCAAGCAGGAAACCTAGGTTTAAATGAGCAATTAATCATTTAAATTATACTTATAAAATTTTTTCCTAAAGGATGGTTGAGTCCTTTTGATTAGCAGCCTTTAAAACATGTTGTGTTACAACTAAATATAACATTTATGCCAAATTTGGTGCTTCTATTTACTAACCAGGAGAATATACTCAGTACAGCTATCAACTAAATAAATGCCCAACTAATTGTGTAACTTACATGTAATCAGATTCTTAATTATAACATTTTTATTCTATTACAAAATGGTGTGTAATAGGAACCCTTAAGAGGCAGGTTTTAACCCATTTATTATTTGCTACGTGGTGGCTATTTTTTTAAAAACATATGATTTGCATCTACTTCTGTCTGGATGGAAATTCTATTTAAACAAAACTAGCATTTAATTTTTGTATGAAATAAAACTACCTAAAATGTGAAGGACACAACAAAAGTATCCAAACACATTTTGCATCTAAAATTAATTTATTAAACAAAGGAAATATCCATAGTGAATTTAACAGATTGAATCTAGTGATGATCTTCTTCAAGATGTTAGAATGCTCTCATAACCAGTTTTTTTACTGAGAGAAGAGGAAAACAAGTTTTTCTGGTTTGTCAACTCTTGGTTTTGCAACAGTGAACGAACTAATCATTGAATTGAACTAGCTGAATAAATCAAAGTGATAAAAACATTCTCTCTTCACCTGCAGAAGAACCTACTGCTGATGTAAACACTGGTTCTGGGTACTTATACTAGTGAACTGGTAGAATTTATTTAAAAGTTGACAGACATGTTCTATTAAATTTTTAAAATTAATTTGTAAGTTAGGTTATGATAAATTTAGGCTATAACAATTTAATTTAATTTTAAAGGGGTGTGTGTGTGTGAGTATTTGTTTTAAATAATATACAGTTTAAATGGGATCACAATTCCAATTTTAATAAAGCTCTCCTGCCCCAGACAGGAAGGGACTTGGGGACATGGGCACTGGGAACACCGGAGTTCCCCTTCCTCAGACAAAAAGAGAGGGAGAATCTCTTGGGTCCCAGGCAGGGGTAGGGTTGTCAGGACACAGCACAAGGGGGCTGGGTTGCTTGGTAGGGGTGTGTTGGGGGGAGGGTACAGGGCCCAGAGAGTAGGGGGAGGGGAGACTGGTAAGAACAGGAAGGGACTTGGGGACATGGGCACTGGGAACACCGGAGTTCCCCTTCCTCAGACAAAAAGAGAGGGAGAATCTCTTGGGTCCCAGGCAGGGGTAGGGTTGTCAGGACACAGCACAAGGGGGCTGGGTTGCTTGGTAGGGGTGTGTTGGGGGGAGGGTACAGGGCCCAGAGAGTAGGGGGAGGGGAGACTGGTAAGAGAACCAGACAGGAGATGGGTATCGGGGGGGAGGGGGCAGATGGGGGCCC